CTACCTTCTAGAAGGTCTACAGCTAAGCTTCCAGAACTCACTAAGATTCCTACGCTATAGACCTACAGATCGAACCCCAGCTGTCTACGGACCTCCGACAGGTCTACCAACTGCCTATGAATACACAGGTCACAGGTTCAATTCTCGGGGTTCACACAAATACTGTACAGGTGTAGGGTGAGGTCTAGGGATCGAACTCTGAGTACTGCATCCGCTTTTACTAAAAGGTGAAAACCGTTTCACATTATATAGCGTCAAACAGAACTTCGGGGTAAACCGTAGGCAGAGAGGGAAAAGAGGACAACGAACAAGGGGCTGTCACAGGCTGTTTCGTCGGAGTTTCACTGACTCATGTCGTCAAACTGAACTGTCTGGTAAACCGTAGGCAGAGAGGGAGGGAGAAGAGGACAAGAAACAAACGAGGGGCTGCGACAAACTGTTTCGTCGGAGTTTCACCGACTGACTCATCAGGAGGCTGAACCCTCTACAGTCTGCAGAGTCCCCGAAACAATAATTGTATCATTATACTGAATGAAAGTGATAATCCACCTTAACTCCAGTGGTGGGTAGGCATCAACGACTGGCCGACAACTGATACCCCTCTGTGAGGAGGTGGGGACCACCAACCACTGCCCTCTTATGTACGAAATAAACACTGCTGAAGTTTATCACCTGCAGGGCTTGACACTGGTGGTTGTGGCCGTTTTCCCGTCGTCAGATGTTGGAATGGGCGGTGTAGATTTCGTATTGAAAAGCTATCTTCTGTCGACACCTGGCGGTGGTGCAAAATTGCAAATGGCCGAAGGTTGGATCATGAGAATATGCTATTATGCAGAAAGTGTGCAGAGTGAAAGCTGATGGTTGTGTGTGATAGCATGCGTCAGAATGTGTCAGGGATTGTCAGTATTCGGAGAGCGTTTCACACGCCGATAGTCATGGGCGAATGAATGCGGTCGTGGTGCTGGGTTAGAAACGGAAAGATTGAGAAACGGAACATCCAAAAGATTGAGAAACGGAAAGAAAGAAAACGAAAATGCATACCTCGTCTGACACGTTCTGATGAAACGGCACAGCAGGGTGGATGTGTCAGAGGGGCCCCACCGACGATGCGGGTAGGGGAAGAGAAAATGCGCGGTGTTTGTGTTAGCCGGACCCCCACCGGGGGATCCGAACCCTGGCAAGAGGTGGCAACATGCAATCCCCCCTTCATTGTGAGGTGGATATGGGCGACGACCTGAAGAAGATATCGTCAACCGAACCGACCGCCCACAGGCATTTCATAAGTATTTGATTTCTATACCTGTCATTCGGGGGGGATGCTCTGGTGTGTACTTCAGTCGTACATGGTTGTACCAACTGGGCTTGGCCAGTTGGTGGATCATTTGTGTGATGCGCCTTCATCGTGCACCCCTCCTCCCACCCCCCTGCTTTCCACATATTTCGTGCCGCAGTAGCAATCGAGTGGATGGGGTTTTCGACTTTTAACGAGGCCGGCTTAGCATCACCAAGGAACCTCCTAGCCGGCATAGCACTCTATACCCCATATAGTACCACCCAGCCGACTTAGTACCATTGATTGATTGATTGGTGGATTGACTCATTGATTTATAAGGCAAGACAAAAAAGAAAGGAAAAAGAAGTTAAAAAAACAGAAGAAAAGCAAAATTGAAAAGAAAATGAAACCCCGTCTCTGCTGTGGACGAGCGGGCGAGCCTTCGGATCTAAAAGAAGAATGACAAAAATGAATGGTTTCAGTGTTATCTTAATATCTTCATGTTTGTTCTTGTGTGTGTGTGTGTGTGTGTGTGTGTGTGTGTGTGTGTGTGTGTGTGTGTGTGTGTGTGTGTGTGTGTGTGTTTATTTTTTAATGCCTTTTGTTAAACATGTTTTGCAAAGTGCACTCTTTCTTTTAGTTCATATACATGTCACAATATATATTGCGGCTCGCCAATGCGCTCTCACTTATCGCCGCATTGATGATGCTCTTTCATGGGGGGAATTAACCAGTGAACTGCGCGCTCTGCAAGCGCCTTGGGCAGTTCATGCCAAATGCAACTACACTTGAATGGATGGTACAAAGTCCTCCAGCTTTTTATACCTTGTCCTAGGAACAACCCGGGGGGGGCTGTATACTAACGAAGGTGCCCTCATCTTATAATACACACTCAACACCGCCTGCAAATGCACTCCATTCATACTCCGCCTGTCCATTGAAGTAGATGACGCAACTGGCTCCACAGTCTTGGCCTTCCTTCTTCTTCTTCGTCTTTTTTTTTTTTTTGTTGTGGTTGAAATACAACTGTCATCTCCTGCTATGGGGGACAGTTTTTTTTTT